TTTCAACTAAAGGGAAATCATCCAAAAATACACAACTGTGTATTGAATTCTTAGAAATAACAGGAAACACACTCTCTGCCTTGACAATGTGTCTTAACTATGGTACTTATGCACAACGTCACACCTCCGCCCCCAAGATCTATTTTAAGCCCAAAAATCCTTCATGTTCCCCATATAATTGTTTTAAGCAGATACATTTCTTTGATTAGTGGCTTTCACGCATAACCCTTCATGTAGTGTAGAACTACTATTACTAACAAATGAAAATAATAAAATTCAATATGCAATAACAACAGGCCGTTATTAGTGGGTGATGTACATTAACTATAGATATGCATTTATAATGTAGTGTTAGCGTTAAAGGAACTTGAATTACATAAAAACTATGTATTAAAAAAAGTGACCACTCATCATATTTCATACTTAGTTCAATCATTTCCTTAATCAATAAAGCTCAAATGCACAATTGTGTTTTTCATGAGTTGAAAATAAATAATCAACATGTTTTTTTTGTTTGTTTACTCAGACATCCTTTATTTGTGTCAGTTTATCTTTCAGTCAAATAATGTAAAGCAGAGTTTTTGTTGTTGTTGTTTTACTCAGGTTGATAAATCAACCACCAAAGACTGACTTTGAAAGATTTCACGCATGTGAAAAGTGACGTGTGGGGAAAAATAGCTTCGAAACACCTGAACGTCTCACTTGCATTTAAGTGGTTTCTTTAAGAAAGGGGGGAAAACAGCTTCACCACATACCAGATTTTCATCTAGTAGAGGGACAGCCTGTGTGGTGTCAGTGAAGACAGTACGTCTAGATGAACATGATTAACTCTGTTACAAGGTTTAACGTGTTAACATGTTAGTTCTCCATATCTTTGTATAACCGATCAGAGTTTTTCTTGGCTTATTAGGGGCCTTTAACAGGTTATTATAAGCACAAATGATCTGCATGATAAACTCACATTTAAGAAAATTTTTATTTCTGTTTATTCCTCTTTGGGAAGGATCAAATGCTCTTTAAAATTATTTTAGTATGCATACAAAACCACGCGTAATAAATATTAGCATCCAGTTACAGTGTGGTAATTTAGCAGGCCCCTGTGATGTATAAATTAGATCGATCAAGCTCTCTTTCCTGTAACTGTTAATTTGAAATCAATCTGACTTTGTTCATTTAACTTGCACTTGTTTGCATTAAGATCCTGGCTTCCTGTAACCTTTAACCTTCACTCTTGTTCATGCTTCCTCAGTCGTTGTCACCTGGCTGGAACTCTGTCTTTGCAGCATTATACACCTGAATAGCACCCTCACTTTTCCTCTTGCTGTCATACTGTGTACCTCAAAACTAGGTTTCTGAAGTACAAAAGCACTGCTTTAGAAACCTGATTGTAACCAGGATGCAGATGTCCATTTAAAACCCTTCGACTGTCCCTTAATGTCTGTCAACAAGCAGCAAACCCCCGAATGCCAGTTTAGTTTCCTGTCTCCGACAAGCCAGCTGAAAAAAACTGACATCCTGCACATTTAATACCACAAAACACAGGAAGTTGTTGTTTTCATACCTCTGTGTGTATCTGTAGTGGGTAAAAGCTTGTCTGTGTGAAATGTAAACTTACTTTCAGGCTGCCTATTTTTCCCAACATCTGGTTAAGTTATCATGACAATATGAGCAATTCAGGTCAATTCAACTCAGTTTTACTTACATCGCACCAAATCACAACAACAGTTGCCTCAAGACATTTTGCATTGTAAAGTGAAGGTAAACTCTACAACAATACTGAGAAAACAACAACATGTCGTGTTAGTAAATAGGTCCAGACAGGCACACAGTTTATGGGTTTCCTGTCTAACATTCATGCTGCACATTCTTCCTGATTCCTGAAAGAAGAAATCCCTTATGAGTGTTTTTTACTAGTCATACATGAAGGATCATGAAGAATCAGGAAATTGGGCTGCCCATTAACTTCCACTGGGAGTCCAGTGGAAGTTAATGGGCAGTCCCAGCACAATTAGAAACTTTGTGACTGCAGCAGGCCTATCATATGTCTATAGGACAGAGTGCATCCAATTACTTAATGCAAAACCAGAATAATATGAATATACAGTCTGCCACCTGACAACAGAAAAAAAAATTCATAATTATTTAGTATGACTACTAACTTGGGGTTGTATGGTAAAGACGTACAGGACTGACTGTTAATGACACTCCAGCTCAAACGTCATTACTGAAATGAGTTGTGTTTATTTCTGGGGTGTTCCCCAGGGCTCTATCCTTGGCTCCTTGTTGTTCTCCACTCACATGTCCACCCATAAATAAAGCATTCATTATCATTAAAAAACATCAGAAATAAGTCAGTTCTTTTCTGGTCATAACCAGAGATGGACGCGTTACTGTAATCTGATTACTTTTTTTAAGTAACGAGTAAAGTAAGGGATTACTATCGGGAAAACGGTAATTAGATTACCGTTACTTTCCTGTAGGAACGCTGCATTACTGCGTTACTAAAACCGTGACTAAAACCGGGGTGGTGGTCCCCTTCTTAAAAATGGGGACCACCACCCCGGTCTGCCAGTCCAGGGGTGCCGCCCCTGATCTCCACGCAACATTGCAGAGGCGTGTCAGCCAAGACAGCCCTACAACATCCAGAGCCTTCAGGAACACGGGGTGGACACCAGGGGCTCTGTCACCAAGGACTTGTTTAACTGCCTCAGTGACATCACCCCTGGAAATTGGCGGGTCATCCCCCTCATCCCCAGACTCTGCTTCCTCCTCAGTGGGATTAAGGAGGTCCTCAAAGTATTCCTTCCACCGCCCGACAATTTTCTCAGTCGAAGTCAGCAGCGCTCCACCAGCACTATACACAGTGCAGGTAGAGCACCGCTTTCCCCTCCTGAGTCGCCTGACGGTTTGCCAGAATTTCTTCGAGGCAGTCCAAAAGTCTTTTTCCATGGCCTCTCCGAACTCCTACCACACCCGAGTTTTTGCTTTGGCCACTGCTTGAGCCGCATCCTGCTTGGCCTGTCGGTACCTGTCAGCTCCTTCCGAAGTCCCACAAGCTAACCAAGCCCAATAGGACTCCTTCTTCAGCCTGGTGGCTCCCTTCACCTCTGGTGTCCACCATTTGGTTCGGGGGTTACCACCATGACAGGCACCAACCACCTTGTGGCCGTAGCTCATTGCAGCAGCTTCGCCAAAGAACATGCTGAACATGGTCCATTCGGTCTCAATGTCCCCAGTCTCCCTTGGAATACTGTTGAAGTTCTGCCGGAGGTGTATGTTGAAGATCTCGCGGACTGGGGCCTCTGCAAGGCATTCCCAGCACACCCTCACTACACGTTTAGGCGCGCCGGGTCTGTCCAGTGTCCTCCTCCGCCACCTGATCCAATACACCACCAGGTGGTGATCAGTTGACAGCTTAGCCCCTCTCTTTACCCGACTGTCCAGAACATATGGTCGCAGGTCTGGTGATACGATAACAAAATTGATCATCAACCTGTGGCCTAGGGCGTCCTGGTGCCACATGCACTTATGGACAGTCTTATGATCGAACAACTCCAGTTTCAACTCCAGACTGAAACAGAGTCTAGCCCCTCTCCAGGAGGCTGGTTCCAGAGCCCAAGCCATGTGTAGAGGTGAGCCCGACTATATCTAGCCGGTACCTCTCAACCTCACGCACTAACTCAGGCTCCTTCCCCACCAGAGAGGTGACATTCCATGTCCCAATTGCCAGTCTTGGTAGCCGGGGATCAGTCCGCCAGGGCCTCCGCTCCTGGCCACTGCCCAGCACACAATGCACCCAACGGCGCCTCCTGTGGGTGGTGGGCCTGCGGGAGGATGGGCCCATGTCCCCTTTTCGGGCTATGCCCGGTCGGGCCCCATGGACTAAGGCCCGGCCACCAGACACTCGCCCTCAGGCACCCTCCCCGGGCCTGGCTCCAGGGTGGGGCCCTGGTAACCCTATCCCGGGCAGTGTAAACTGTTCCCTTGATGTTTTCCTCATAAGGGTCTTCTGAGAAGTGTCTTATCTTTTCACTTTGAAGCTGGTTTTGTGCTCTCTGCAGAATCAACTTCACTTTATGTCCCCTGACCGTGGATCCATGGTGCAAACTCTTGGGAATAAGTCTGCTCTGTCTGCGTTTGAGGTTAAAGTGGAGGTGGTTTCCATAATCTGCTAGTTTTCTTGATTCCCTTTCATATCACAGCAGTTCAAGAATGTTCCTCCCAAAGTGCATGGTAATATGTCTGTATAGGTTCTCATTCATCCAGGTCATAGTAATCTAAGGAGTTTAGAAAGAAAGCAACTGGACTTCTTTAAATTCCTGGGAATCTCTGCCATTTGGTCTTAAAACTGAAGACACTTAAAAAAAAATGAGGGTTAAAACAATTTCAAGAAACTTAAGGAAGTTCAGTCACTTTTCTTCCCCAACTCCTTAGTTCACGCTCATTGATGTTTACTGAACACATCATCGAAAATCCAACTCTGACTCAAATGCAACAACCTGCTTGTTTAACAGTTAAATAAGCAGGTTGCTGCATTTGATGGTGCATTAATTAGAAAGCCTCTGTGATGCAGAGCAGCTGTAACTGTGAAGTGAATCTTCTGAAAAGTCTACCAATTAAAACCTTTTACAACATACACATTTTTCATGCTGGGTTATGTTGACTGGCTCGAGCAGAATGAGTGCAGAGTCCTCAACATTTTTTCTGGTGCGCCGCACTTTAGAAGCTAAACAAAGATTACTTTCCAAATTTTTGACCCATTATTAATACAAAATTATCACCCAAGTTAATATTATTTTAGCAGCAGCCACCACAGGTTTGCCCTGTCTATCACATTGCAGCTGCTGTGGCTTCCACCCACAATTTGAAAACCACTGAACTAAACATGTTGATCAGTGAATTTCACTTTATAAGCTAATCTGCGCTTCCCTTTTTACTCATTTCTCAACATTCAGTGTCTAAAATTAGCTACTAAAATATATGCGGGGGTTTTACTCGGACACTCGCAAGGCTGAAATGGTTGCAGTTAAAGCTTTTTCTGACTGTGTAACAATTGAACTAACTTGTGATTTCTTTTCTTCGGTAACCTCTTTCTCTAACTTTGGTAGGTTCGTCTTTGATCTGATCATGTTAAGTCATTGTCAGATCAGCATCTTCATCTGCTCGTTTTCCAACACTAGGCATGTTTATCAAGGATCTCTCAATGACACCGTGGCACAAATACACTCAGACGCATCTGCAGCAAGCTGAGATAAGGAGGGCTGGGTTTCCTTCTTCCTCTGAGCTCCAGGAGGGAAATTATAGCCTCTAAAGACACGTTGGGTCACAGACCTGCCTCGACTGCTGTCCACAATGATCCTCTACCTGCTCTTGCCTGCTTTTGTCCTCGGTATGTGTTTGCCTTCACTTGAGAGTTTTTCTTTAGATTTTGTGGACATTTCCTGCTTTTTGGATTTGCTTTAACATTTCCGTGAATTGTTTTCCCCGTGTGTGGGGGCGTAATGAAGGAAACAGCAGAGGCAAATGAAAGTCAGAGTGAGAGCATTCCTTTTAAAAGTGGCCCGACTGGCATAGCTGATCGTAAGGAACATCTTTGAATTTGTTGTTTGCAGGTACTGTGACATCACAATCAGCCAACAGTACAGTGGGACAGCTCGATGAAGTTGGGAGGAACCAAACATTCAACAGTAAGTTCATTTCTTACTTCAAATACTTTGTACAACAGTGTCAAACACAGATGTGGAGGCCAGAAATAGACCATCAAAGGCTCCATTTTGGTCTGGTGAATGGTTTACTCTTGTTTTTCCATTAGAAAAATGCAACTGTTGCCTATAAATTGTAACATAAATCTGATGACAGTAGACTGTAACCTTTGAGGGGTTTTATAAACAGATTGCTCATAAAATGCAGCAACATAATTAAGCAAGTAAGAAAACGTGCTGTCTGGCAAATTCATTACCTTATCAATATTTTTACACCCTTTTTGATGTTTGTAAACACTGATGATGTGTTTTGAGGACAGAGCGCACCTGACTGCAGAAAGTGACTGATCTCCAGTAGTGTATTTGAAAAGATGGCATCTATACAAACTAAATGCACACAAATGTTTTCATCCATACATTTATGCATTTAATGCTCTTGTCCAAGATGTCACATGTCACATCCAGGATATTTAATACAGATATTTACTGATTTCTTTCTGTGTAACAGACCAACATACTGTATAAGACATGAGCTGTGATTAACACATCTAATTGCAAAACTGCAGAATATATTCATAATCATTTAAATGCCACTAGGATTAAAAGAAACCTGTCCAACACAGCACATGTAATGACTGGATCCTGTGTTGGACAGGTTTGGATGCTTGAGTGATCACAAAAAGTGTGTTATACTAGCTAGCCAAAGAGCAATTCAAAAAACCAGTTCATCCTGCTCAGAACAGGGTTACAAAGCTCCAGCCCTGGGCCAGGTTTATGGGCTCAAACCAAACACTTGGTGGCCTTAGACCATGAGACAAAGCCAACCCAGCCTAACAGAGAGGCATGGGCCCACGATGCAGGAGGGGGCGATAGAGGTTTGGTGCACTGTACCTTGGATTGTCTAAATAATTGCAGAGCGTTTTGTTCCAGCGTTTTCAGTGGGAGAAACATTTCGCCACTCATCCAAGTGACTTCTTCAGTTACTGACAGGACTGCTTTGATACGGTGATTTTGATAAATGACATGCAACTGTCTTCATAATGGACAGAAAAACAAGTGATTAAGTCAGCCAGGAAGCCAGGAAATTGTCTGTTTGAGACACAGATCACGGCAGTTGGGAACTATTTTTTCATAGACTTGGAAACATCTAGTTGTTTTGCAGCAGAGGGAATTACCCCCTTCTGAACATAAGGAAGAATGCAGATTTAAAGGAATTTTGTATTGTTGTAAGTCCAGCAATTACATATCTGTTTCTAAACAGGACTTATTGATGCATAAATCAAATTTAAATGCAAAACGTTTTCCACTTTGGATAAACAACCATTATGAATTCAAAGTGCAATAATACCTAGAGTGAAACAAAATGTTTTGCCTGCAGGTACACTGAAACCAAAGAATGTGACATCCACATTTTACGAAGAGAAGAAATGGGTCGAGGACAAACTGCAAAGTAACCAAGGTTCTGTTATCACAGAAGATGAAGGTAAGTTAATGATTATCAGCGCGTCTTATTTACCTGCTTTGCATATAGTGCAGATTAAACATGAAAAATTTGTCGGAGAGTCAGCTTCTGTTTTATACGTGTGTCCTCCTTTTAGTTCATATGTGTCAGAAAAATCTTTGATTACTTTGCAGAGAGTTTCCAGGATGAGGAAAATAAAATTACTGGGGAAAACTGTGATTGGAAGTCACTGCAATTCTTGAGTTCCACCTACTGTGGTGAAAATTTTCACCAGGACATGTGGAATATCGGCAGAGATAACTGGTGTGTCCAGGAACGTTTCATCAGGTAACTGAATAAATATATCCACAAACCTCCATGTTTAACACACTGAATAATACTCGTTATGCATTTAAAAACTCAATATTCTGAAGGACAAAACAGCATGATTAGAATTATTGCTGAGACTTTTCTGGACTTCTTTGCATTAATTTTCAGTATTAAAGAAACATGACGTGACCTTTTAATCTTTATTCTTCAGAAAATCTTCAAAAAGCACAAAGATTCAGGGTAGTAGTGCTGTTTCACTAAAGTCTATGTCATAGACATGAAACTGGTGAAGTTTTGCTCCTGAAACTGTAAAATATTCCATAATTCTGGTCTATAGAGTGTTGAATAACAGGCTAATAAAATACTAGAATTTCACTCACAAAAGTTATAAATGTTTTGAACAGCCTCACATACGTCCAAATATTCAATTTTAAAGAGTCAATTCGATTAAAAATTCTTCAAAAGGCACCAAAAACATAAACTGGATGGAAATTTCACATATTTGAATGTGAGTTTCTGGGGATTGACTCACTTTTGGTGCCAGCCCCATGTGGCCACTCGAGGAACTGCAGTGGGATGCTGCCACAGATGGGCTCTATAGGGCCCCCTTTAATATTTATGGAATGTAATTATGGGAATAAGAAAACACATCAATACCCAGTCAATTTTAATTTAAAAAATGTCCATACTCACATACAGAGCTTTAAAAGTAAATGGTAATGGACGGGTTGTTTTAAAGTGCTTTGCTACTCTGAGCACAAAACTTGCCTCTTTTACCCAAGCACCTTTTTCTATGCTCTTTCTGTTTAAGGCCATATCCACACTAAATAGTTTTTGTTTGAAAAAGCATCTTTTTCTCTCCGTTTTGACCTTCCGTCCACACTGCGATGGCGTTTTTGGTCAAGGAAAACTGAGATTTAAAATGCTCTCCAAAGTGGGTAAATTTAAAAA